GCCAGGAAAAACAAATCAACACTCTAGTTGAATATGTTAGCTCAACACTCTCAAAATCTGACAGTTCACACATAAACCTAAATTCAGACTTCACTTTACCTATCCACAAGGCCATTCCTTGTGTCTTGTCATCATCTAAACTGTTCCATTTCTGAAATATTAAACCCACTATCTTATTCATCAAATGCAGCCTTTCTTTCAGATTTAACCTAGACCCTGTGGCAGATCATCTGAACGATTTTTATTTTATGACCTTTTATGCCTTTGCCCTATTATCTTTCTGCCCAACCATCCCAAACATCCCAGGTGGTCAAACTCTCTACCTTCTATTAACTCTGAATTCAAGGTGGAATACCTTGTGCCCACCATCTTACTGACACTCTTTTGTTGGTATTTTCATTGGCTGTTAAATTTAACATTAACAGATATTTATCAGTTCTTATTTTACTGGACTCATCTGTTACTTTGGATGTGTGAATCATTCCCTCCTTCTTTAAACTAACTCCTTTGTTGGCTTCAGTGACATTGTATTTTCCATGTTATCTTTCTACTTTACTTTTTTTGGGTCATCTCTTCTAACCACCCTTAAATTTTGTCTATCTCCCGAATCCCATCTTTAGTTACCACTCTTCTCATTGCATTCAAGTTCTCCAGGGAATCTCTTTCTCATCCAAGATTTCAAGTACCATCTACATGATGATAACTCTCAAATCTTTTCCTCCAGTCCAGATTCTTCCTCCTCAAGGTAGATTTAGATAGCTAGCTGTCGCCAACATCTCCACGTTGTGATCTCACATATACTTCAGCTCTAACATGTTTTAATGGAGAGCTTCATTATCTCTTGCTGCACAATAGAAATAGATTGTCAACTGGTCTCCCTTCCTGCCTCCAGACTTCTTTCCCTACATAGTTGACAGAGTAATATAGAATCAACTCTGATTATGTCACCCTGCTCCCACCAATCTTTCTACATAATATAATTATTTGTTAATATTTTTTCTCTCCCCCTCAACTTGAAGTTCCTAGACAGTACAGATCATACATGGTGTGCAGTTAGTTCCTTGAGCATGTGGCAATGACGGTTCCTCCGAATAAAGAAACAAATAATGAAATTTGAAATGAATTTCGAAGGGTGAGTTGGAATTATCCTGACAAATGGTGGAGATTGAATGAGTAGGAGGTAAATAAGAGATATAAGGAG